TCCGAGTGCGAACCCATGCCTCCAACCACCCCGCGATTCTGCCTCTTGACAAAGCTTGAAGCTCACATTTAACACCAAGGTAGTGTTAATGGTGGCAAGGAAGAGCGAGTTCTCAAGTGGGAGGCGGAGTTTCCGATCCTTGGCGATGTCGTTAGCCATTGATTCCGTCGTAGCTGGTGTCGACATTCAACATCTCGTTGGGTCTTTGTGAGCTTGCACGACCGGGAGGGAAAGGCCGCAGAGGAGTCGCCGATGAGAAAACATTAGCTACAGGTTTCTTTATGTACTTTTTTTTTTTGCTCTAATAGATCTAGCTGATAATGTTTATCTTTAAATAAATGGCTAAAACAAAAGCAAAACTAATGAATGGTTGAGATTAGTGTGGGCATTCTTTTCATTTTACATCTAAATTTAACAAACTTAGAATGGAATGTTGGTGTTATTTTTTTTAGTCAATAGGGTGTCTCAGTTGTTGACGGTGAAATTTACTCAACTTAAAATTAAATATTTTTGGGAACACTCGTAGACGTCTCTTACGAAATAATCAAGAAAATAATTGCAGAAAAATAAAGGACATAGAGGTTTATAGTGGTTCGGCGGAAATTCTTTGCCTACGTCCATTTGTGGAAGCACTAGTATTATCAGAATTACAATCTCTTGGAGTAGTAAAATATTGAGTAAAAAACTTAATGAAGAATTCAGCCATTATTTATAGGCCTTCCTCAAATCTGAGATCCTTATCTCTAATTTTCCTAGGATCATTCTCTTATCCTTAATTCTCAGGATTTGGCAGCTGTATTTCCATATTTGAATGCTCGAATATGAGGAATTGTCCTTATCAGTTATTTGATTTCCAAATTTGAATTCGGGCATTTGCTATTGTTTATCTCTTCTTGATTTGGCGGGATTTGATTCAAATCTGGTCCTATAGACTTCTCGACGTTGTGATCTTTGAGGGCTTTAAGTAGATCTTTCGACCTATACCCTTTGTCTTTAAGAGTTCTCCTTGGCCTGGGGACATCTCATGAATCGCCACTTCTTGACGTTAGTGATCCATCCTTGGCTATGGAACTTTCGACGCATAATGGTCAAAGGGATGGTCTGATTGCTCGACTATGGTGCAACATCAGTTATTGTTAAACTGAGATTCGTCAAGCGAATCTCTAAGAAAGAAGTCGAGAACATGAAGAAACTAAGGAGACAGAACAAAAAGCAAAAACACTGGCGACTTTTATCGACTGCAAGAATCGATTATTGATTAGAAGGATAAGCAAACTACTTGCCTTTGATACCAGAGCTTGACAACTTTAGTCGATCGATTATCAACCATCGATCAGACACGTCATTAAGAAATGTGGATTTAGGCGTCGTTTATTTCATCAATTCGAGTTTAGAATTCAAGTTTTTCTACAGTAGAAAGCTCTTAGAAATAGTTACATCTAACATTTTTACTGTAGTAAAAAACTCTAACATAAAATCATATTTCAACTCAAATGAAAAACTTGAATCAGCGAACTAAACGGGCTCTTAGCTTATTCAACTGACAACTTATTAGTACGGATCGTGAGATAAGATACCATGACGTGCGAGATCAATACCCCCACTATCAACAACACGTGGCAACTGCTCTTTGGGCTCCTAAAGACCCATGATCCGGAGATCATGGGAAAGTGGGCCATTATCTAGTTTAGGCGATATACTATAAATAGGGGGAAAGACAAAGTTAAGGGGACATTCTGAGAGAGGGAGAGAGCTCAGAAAGACATTTGTAAAAGAAACATTATGGGTGCGTTTGGAACTCGTTCCAAAATGATTTCGTTTTCTGTATGAAAATAGAAATGAAAACGTTTTCATTTCCATTTTGAAATCATTTCTGAAAATGCGTTTGGTAATTTTATTTAGAGATTAATTTCAGTTTAAAGAAACTAACTGTGTTTGGTGGTTTAATTTTAAAAACATGTAATAGTATTTAAAATAATAATATATTAAATTCTAAATAAAAACACTAATAATTAATATAATAGTTTAATTATCATCAACATTAATAATTAAAAAAACTTTACCAAATACAACAAAAATCCGTAAAAAAAATTTCCTCATAGTCATTGGCCTTCCTTTTACGCCTCCATCATTGGCCTTCTCACTCAATCAAACCCCATTACAAAAATTTGCTTTGCTATGCAATATTCTCTCTCTCCGTCATATTCCACCGGAAAGCAAGAAAACAACAACAAAATCCCACCTCCCATGACTTCCAAACACTGATCGATCAATCAAACAAACAAAACCTCCCATAAAACCACTTCCCAAAACCCACCCCCTTTCTTTGACTTCCAAACACTGATCAATCAATCAAACAAACAAAACCTCCCATAAAATCACTTCCCAAAACCCACCCCCTTTCTTCGGTTCTTCCCCATAAAACCACTTCCCAAAAACACTGACCAATCAATCAAACAAACAAAACCCTCTATAAAACCATTTCCCAAAACCCACCCTCTTTCTTCGGTTCTCCCCCATAAAATCACTTCCCAAAACCCATCCTCTTTCTTTGGTTCTTCTTCTTCTTCTTCTTCGGTTCTACCCCATAAAACCACTTCCCAGAACCCACCTTCTCCCCATAAAACCACTTCCTAAAACCCACCCTCTTTCTTCACTTCGGTTCTTCTTCTTCTTCTTCGGTTCTCCCCCATAAAACCACTTCCCAAAACCGACCCTCTGGAGTACTCCAACTACTCCTACCTGGACTCCCACGGAGCAGATCGACCAAAACCCACCCTCTTTCTTCGCTTCGGTTCTTCTTCTTCTTCGGTTCTCCCCCATAAAACTACTTCCCAAAACCCACCCTCTGGAGTACTCCAACTACTCCTACCCAGACTCCCACGGAGCAGATTGGCCAAAACCCACCCTCTTTCTTCACTTCGGTTCTTCTTCTTCTTCTTCAGTTCTCCCCCATAAAACCACTTCCCAAAATCCCCTCTGGAGTACTCCAACTACTCCTACCCAGACTCCCACAGAGCAGATCGGCCAAAACCCACCCTCTTTCTTCACTTCGGTTCTTCTTCTTCTTCTTCAGTTCTCCCCCATAAAACCACTTCCCAAAACCCACCCTCTGGAGTACTCTAACTACTCCTACCCGGACTCCCACGGAGCAGATCGGAACGGAGAAGAAGGCCTAAAGAGTACTACGTCGAGACTCCAACTACTCCTACCCGGACTCCCACGGAGCAGATCGGAACGGAGAAGAGGGCCTAAAGAGTACTACGTCGAGATTGGTGAAGGATAGAAAACGGAGAAGAGAGAAAATGAAAATGAGAATATGAAAACGAGTTTAATTTGTTTTCAGAAATGTGATAGCTTTTAGAAAAAAAATCCAGAAACGTTTTTGTTTTCAATTTTGGTAAAATGTTGCACCAAACGCACTCTTTCTGCCGGTTTTAATTTTTTATTCTCAGAAAACGTGAAAAGGGAAACAAAAATAGAAACAAACAGGCCGTATGTATTGTTAATTATTCATAGTGAAACCCGAGTACAATGGACGTAGCTTTCCATTAAGAGTAAATCACTCTAAATTTTTTAGGGCATGTTTAGTTTATGCGTTTAAATTAGTAATTCTTAATTTTAACATTTGAAATTTAAATTTTTTATGAGAAAAAAATACTGTAACAGAACTAAAACCATAAATTTAAATGTATGAAACAAACAAACTCTTAATCTGCTAGTTTATTATTTAATTTTCTTTTGCTTTTACCTCAATTTCTTTCATATTCAAGTTTTTCAGATGCTATCAAGAACGTGGTCATGGGCCTCATAATTTCGTTATAATCATTTCTGACTTTATCTAATTTGACTATAGAAAATCACGTCTACAGTTATTTTAGTATAAGACAGAGGATGTTGATATAAAAAGCCTATTGTAAATGACCAAAGTTGCTTATTCAAAAATTTCCCTTTAGCAAAAGAAAAAAAAAACAAATATTTCAAAATCTATAGAATTTTTTTGAAAAGATAAAAAAATTGAAATAGAGTAAAAAAAAAGTTTCTTAAATTAACTACCAATAATTCTTTATTTTTTAATTGTCAGATTCGTATCAAAATCTACTTATTCGACATATTTTTTTCATTTATTGTGATTTTAATTAAATGTAAAAAAATTATAACTATCAATAAACTGAATTACCGAAAAAACTCTAAAAAGATAGATCTTTTTATTATAAGATCTCAGGTCGATGCACACTTTATTATTATTATTTTTATTTAATTTTAAAATAAAAACTATGCGTCAGATACATATATTATATATAGTCATTAAAACAGAATTCTACCACCGCCAATGTATTTTTCAGATCGCATCAAAGGGGAAAAAAGAGTTAATTAAAGTTATCAAAAAAAAAAAAAAGAGTTTATGAAAAAAAAAAAAAGTTTCATTAAAAAAAAATCCAACAAACAAACAGCATTTCGTACGTGGAAGAGATTCCAGACCAAAGTCCACACCAGTCGAATCAGTAATGTGGTGTTTGGTTCATGGATTCAAATCATGTAATTAGAATTATTTTTAATTTGTGTGTATTTTTTATGAGAAAAAATACTATAGCGAACCACGAACCATGATTCGAAGGGCCCGTTTAGTTCGCTGATTCGAGTTTTTAATTCGAGTTGAGATGTGATTTTATGTGAGAGCTTTTTACTGTAACAAAAAAGTTAGATGTGATTGTTTGTGAGAGTTTTTTACTGTAACAAAATTCAAATTCTAAACTCAAATCAGTGAAATGAATAGGGGTTACCAATCGGAGCTTTAACTTAAATAAAACATAAACAGAATCTTAAACGCTGAAATTCTGTCAGTCAAAACCCTAATTTAGATTTTCCCAGAATTAATTAAAAAAGAGAAGAAAGAGAAAAAGGAATTGGAATCTTTGTGAAAAAGGTGTCAGATTGTCAGAATCAACGGCCACGATTCCACTGCCACCAACTATAAAAATCCACGGGATTCCGCAGCCTCCATTTTCACTCTTCCTTTCGAGCTTAGCCTTTTTCTCTTTCTTAGAGAGAGAGCTATAAAAATCCACGCGATTCCTCAGCCTCCATTTTAACTCTTTCTTTCGAGCTTAGCCTTTTTCTCTTTCTTAGAGAAAGAGAGAGAGGGAGAGAGAGAGAGGAGAGAAGGTCGCCATGTGTGGAATACTTGCGGTGTTTGGTTGCATAGAAAATTCTCAGGCCAAACGGTCCCGAATCATCGAATTGTCTCGGAGGTGATTTTTCCTTTTCAGTTTTGTCGTTATCGGATTTTCCATTTCCGAGTCCGATTCTGAACTCCTCAACCTTTACATTTTCCATACATTTTGTTTACGAGCTGAATTTTCGTTGATAAAGTGCTTCATTTACTTGAAATTTTGTTCATTGTTCAAATCTATTGGTATTTCTTTTATTTTCTTTGATTTCATTGTTAATTTGTTTTTGAAAATGGTTAACGATGATTCTTATTTGTTCTCTGTTTTCTAAAGCATTTTATTATTGTTTTTTTTGTTTTTCTTTAAACTATTAATTTTCGTCCTTCAAATCGTTGTTTTACTAATAAAAGTCATTGGATTTATTGTCCAAAACAAAGAAAAAAGGTCAACAGCTGCTGCTTTCTTTATTGCTTAGGAGTTATTTTTGTATACTAAAATGAATTTTGAGTTCGAAAAAATATTTCTTTATTTCTCTTGACCATATTGAAACAAAAATTTACAAACCATTGACCCTGATGTAGCCTTTTTAATTTTTAATTTTTTTCCTTTTTAAAATGAATCTGATTCATTTCTCTACAAAATTTTTAGTTTTTGAGTGATATGTATTTGTTAATCCTGACTTTCCGCACTTATTTCTTAAAAAACGTTTGGAATGTAGATAGTTTGCTCAGGAGTTGATGAAATGTCTTTATATATACATACATATGTGTGTGTGTGTGTGTGTAATTAAGACTATTGAAAAAGCTGGAAAAGGATTGACATTTCATCAATAACTCCTAACAAAGATGTTAGCTTATGGTGCTAATTGGATTTCTGTTTTATTTGAAAGTGTAGGTTACGCCATAGAGGTCCTGATTGGAGTGGGTTGCATTGTCATGAGGATTGTTATCTTGCTCATCAACGTTTGGCTATTGTAGACCCCACTTCAGGAGATCAGCCACTCTACAACGAGGACAAGACAATTGTTGTCACGGTACTCCTCCTTTATATCTACCTACAACCATATGTGCAAGCTTGCTCTCTCTCTCTCACACATTCATCTTTTTTCTTTTTTTTTATTTTTATTTTTTACTCTTATTTATTTATTTATTTCTGAAACATACACTTATTTGTTGTTTCATGACACCAAGATGGACAGAGATTATCAATACAAACTGCATAAAAAGAGCCCATAAATATAGATCAAGACATTCGGATAACCACATGCATAAATTTGTACATGTCCAGTGTGGTCTCAGTTGAAACTTTGGAATCTCGTAAAATGAATTGACTACGCCTATATTTGGTTTTCTTTTGAGAAAAGGTGTTGAAACACAAACTACTCATGAATGCTTTAGCCAAAAAAAAAAAAAAGACACTACCGATGAATGTATAAGAGACAAAGCCATTAATATAGGAGTCTATATCTATGAATTACTGCTCAACTGCTTTTGTTTTTGTTTTTGTTTCTTTCCTTCTTTTTTTCTTTTCTCTCTCGAGTTACTAAAAAATCAAGGTATCACGAATGCTCATATGTGACTATTGAAACTGTGGTTTAAGGTTAATGGCGAGATATATAACCACAAGGAATTAAGAGCACAGCTGAAGTCGCATCAGTTCCGGACTGATAGTGATTGTGAAGTCATTGCCCATCTTGTAAGTGATTGAGAACAGATTCAGACATACGAGATCGCTGAGTTGCCTTTTTCATTTCTTCTTTTTTGTGCCGTCTTTCTTATCTATGTATGTGAGGCATAACTTATAATTGGTCATTTCCAGTATGAAGAACATGGCGAGGATTTTGTGCACATGTTGGATGGCATGTTCTCATTTGTCCTTCTTGACACGCGAGACAAAAGTTTTATTGCCGCTCGGGATGCTATTGGAATTACCCCACTTTATATGGGCTGGGGTCTTGATGGTATGCAACTTTATCCTCATGTGTTCTATCTGGTCATTAGGATCAGTATTTTCATGGAATGTTTACGCTTCGTTTCTTTACTTGGAGATGTATAAGATGGTTGTAAACTAGGAAACCATATGCTGGTTAATATAATCACACAACATATACGAAGTGTTACTGTTATCTTTTTGGATCTCAGCAAGTAGAGGTTTCGTTTAGTTTTCTTTTACATGCTTCTATCTTGTGCTGGTTGGTAATTTTCATGTCATATATATATAAACATATACACTTAAAAAAAGACAATCAAATGAAGATTATATTCTAAAGCAGGGTTTGTTCATCTACAGGTTCAATTTGGTTTGCTTCTGAAATGAAAGCTTTGAGTGATGACTGTGAAAGATTCATGTCATTTCTTCCTGGGCATATATATTCTAGCAAGCAAGGTATGGCTCTATCAAGCTAGTGACTATTCATGCTCTCCATTGTTTAATTAAGAGTACAACTTGACCTAGACGTGAATGCTATTTCTTTGTAGTCTCCTTGATAGAGGCAAAAGAATAAAAAGTTGAGGAAAATAATATCCCATTCATTGGTTGACCACCTCAAGAACTCTGCAGAATAGGTTCAAATCTTTTGGTGGCTATGTGATATATCTTATGAGAATTTTAACTGGGCAAAATTCATGCTTAATATAAATTTGAATTTTGTTTGTTTGTTTATTATTATTATTATTATTTTTTATTTCTTCTTTTGATGGCTTGTTAAGAATGAATTTTGCTTGTTTAATGTTTTCAGCAATTGCTTTTACCTATGGGGAGTTTAGAATGCATGTGTTCCATTTTACAAATTGATTTATTTACAGGAGCACTGAGAAGGTGGTACAACCCACCCTGGTTCTCAGAACAAATACCTTCAACTCCTTATGATCCAATAGTTCTTCGAAAGGCTTTCGAGAGGGTATGCTCTGAACTTGCATTACTTCTTGCAATTTTTTTATTGCTAGTAATATTAGTGGCAGTTGGTTTTTAAGAATTCCATCTATTTTCGTAATTATTCATCCATTAATGAGTAATTCGAAAGTAGTGAATACAATTAAACTTCAATTTGTTATCTTGAAATCTTGCAGGCTGTTGTGAAGAGACTTATGACGGACGTACCATTTGGTGTCCTCCTCTCTGGCGGCCTGGACTCATCACTTGTAGCAGCTGTGGCTTCTCGCTACTTGACTGAATCAGAGGCTGCTTGTCAGTGGGGATCTCAGCTACACACCTTCTGCGTTGGTTTGAAGGTCTGATAGCCAATCTCCACCACACACACACACACAGATTTTTTTTTTTTTTTTTATCATTTTTCCCATCAGTGCTTCGATCATGATTAATGCGTCGCGGATGCATTCTGAGCATGGTTTAATTGTATCTACCTTTGATTGAGTTTTTCTTGTTAGATTAGCTTTCTATACATTTCTATTTATTCATATGCTTCTTGTTTTACATATTCAGGGTTCTCCTGATCTAAAAGCTGCCCAAGAGGTAGCAGATTACCTTGGAACTCGCCATCATGAGTTTCACTTCACTGTTCAGGTGATCCTTTGTGCTCTCAGGTTAACTTAGAGCAAACAATTTGTGCGCCTTAATTATAACAAAAATTAATTGTTTCCTTTCTATTTCAGGAAGGCATAGATGCAATTGAGGAAGTCATTTACCATATTGAAACATATGATGTAACCACTATCAGAGCTAGCACTCCCATGTTTCTTATGTCTAGAAAAATTAAGTCTTTGGGAGTGAAAATGGTTCTTTCTGGGGAAGGTTCTGATGAAATTTTTGGGGGTTACTTATATTTCCATAAAGCACCTAACAAGGAGGAGTTTCACCAAGAAACATGTCGGAAGGTCATAATGTCTCCCTTGCTTCTTTATTTTTTATTTATTTTTTTCTTGTTTAATAGAATGGCACTCAAATCATGTAAGGCACGTTGCAATACCAGTGGATTTGTCATACTACCTTTGTTTTGAATAACTGAAAGCTAGTAAGTTTCTAATGGCTCTTCTTCACAATTGAACAGATCAAAGCTCTTCATCTTTATGACTGTCTGCGAGCGAATAAAGCAACTTCAGCTTGGGGGCTTGAGGCTCGTGTTCCCTTTTTAGACAAAGAATTTATCAACATTGCTATGAGCATCGATCCAGAATGGAAAATGGTAAACGTTGAATTGGTATCGTACATGTTTCTGAAGTTTTACTGCTGAGAATCTATATTAAAATCCAATATTGGATCCAAAAACTCCCACTATTTGTGCAGTAGCCAGTGGTAAGTGGCCACTCATCTTAGAGGAATGCGGTATTCAGGGGATTTATTTGTGCCATACTTCAATGTTTTACCTGAAGAATGGGTTGTCCATTTTAAGTAGTTATATTCTTTAGATGTTTATGAATATGCTACCATTTTTGAGCTGACGTTGCCTTTTACTTGTAGTTGGGACGATTATCATGAATTTGTCTCTTTCTCTATTATCATCATTGGTGGTGTTTGACATAGCTTTTAAGAATCTTGGTTTTCTACTGCTTGGAAGTTGTTCGTTGGATAATTTGGATAAATCACCTTTTTATTTGTCCATTAATTACAATTTTTAATGCCTTTGGAAGTCATAAGTTCAAGCCTTCTTTTTCCATTTTTATGGTCGTAATACCAATTTCTTTCATGCTCTGATAACTACAGATCAGACCTGATCTCGGAAGAATTGAAAAGTGGGTCTTACGTAATGCATTTGATGATGATCAGAAACCGTATTTACCAAAGGTCTGTATCTGTATGCTTATGCTACACATATGTTAATACTTATCAAATTAAATACGGACCAGTATTTTGCATATTTAATTGGCTTTAGTCTCTTGTATGTGCAACTCATGTAGATAAATTCATTTATTTTGTTTTCTTTCTGGTTATAGCACATATTATACAGACAAAAGGAGCAATTCAGTGATGGTGTGGGGTACAGTTGGATTGATGGCTTGAAGGATCATGCAAACAAACAAGTATGGCTTCTACTTTTGGGCGTAGTTATGACTTTGCCCTAATTTTAAGTTTCCATAGTTCAGTCTCTATTTGTACTGCCTGTAGCTAACTTCATTTAGCTGCGGAACGAAACAAATAAGCAACAGATACTTATTCATCAGCTGGCTTAACATTTAGCTCTTTTGTTTCGGTCATAATTGACCAGGTAACAGATGCAATGCTGATGCACGCAAGCTTTGTTTATCCTGAAAACACTCCTACCACAAAAGAAGCATACTATTACCGGACTATATTTGAGAAGTTCTTCCCCAAGGTGGGATTATAGAATATACACAATTTTTTTTTTCTTTTCTTGTTTTACATTGTCATGGACATGGTTATAGATGCCTATATCCCAGAATGCTTTTCTGTGAAACTAATCTTTTACATTAGTCTTGATCATCATTCATTTAGTGCTCATTAAACTGACCGGCTTTTGGACAGAACGCTGCTAGATCAACAGTTCCTGGTGGTCCAAGTGTGGCATGTAGTACCGCCAAAGCTGTGGAATGGGATGCAGCATGGTCAAAAAATCCCGATCCATCAGGCCGTGCTGCACTCGGTGTTCATGCAGCGGCATATGAGGAATCATTGGGTGATAAGGATGCCAATGTTCTGAGTGGATCTCCCCAAAAACTAGGAGGAGGGATTGTAGGGCAAGCTGCAACAGTTGTTTAATTTACAACTATAATACTTTATGAAGTACTTGTCAAATGATCAATACTTCCCAGTTTTGCTCATGCTGGCAAAGGTACTAATCTTATCCTCGGCATCTTCAATCATTTAGAATCTTTGAAACATTTGTTTCTTTTCGTTTCTTAAGGTCTTCATTCTCTGGCAGCTCCTCCAGGCGAACTGCAGTGCTTCTTGGAGTTTGGACCAGGAATTAACAAACTGTTCGTTGATTTACTTGAAGGCCTTCTTTGGTTCTACATTGTTGTGTGTTGGAGCTTAGGCTAATGTTCATTCCAGTCCTTCCCCGGGCTTCTTTGTAAATTAGTAATGAACATTTCAAGTTATGTCATCATGTAATGTTTGACCCCTATAATCCTTTAATGAAATACTCTTTGTTTTTATGTACTTCGTTAAATTGAGGTACGATCGAGTAAACTCATTGGCTTTGCAGGTGATATCCTGAAAATCTCACGTAAACCCGTTTGAACTTGTGCCATTGTTCGTTTGTTTGTTAAGTTCTTGAACTGTAGCACTTGTAACAAAGGGCCCCGAACTTTAAAACGCAACCATATGTTCCCCTGAAATTTTATAAGATGTCCAAACTAACCTACTGTCAGCTTTTCTAATGGAAAAACTCGTGATAGTCGCGTGATCCCAATTTTTGGGAATTTTTGTAAATATCCAATTAGAGGAGAGAATTGTGTGGAGAGTGATGAATGTTCAACAGCATGAGAATAGTTGACTCGCACTGTTCTTCGACACTGCCGTACTGGAAAGTGTCGTCGCCTCACAAGTCATAGCCATGGCAAGTCGTTTTTTCGTAGGTTTGGATCATCATCTAGCTCGTCTTAAAAGACTGGAAATGAAATGAAAACTTTAGATAATAAATTCTTACTCACCAGAAGGCCGCAACCACTAGGGGCTCGTTCATTTCACCGATTTGAGTTTTCAATTTTAGGTTTCTACAGAAAAAAACACTCAGAAAATATTACATCTAACTTTTTCTGCTACAGTGAAAAGCTCTCAGAAAATGTCACATCTCAGCTCAAATTGAAAACTCGAATCCGCAAAGTAAACGAGGCCTAGATGATTGTTATAATCCAGAACGAGAAAACAATACCAAATAACTCTCTAAATTCAATAGTGCCAAGGGGATTACGTTTGCAAAGTTCCATGTAAAAAACTATTATTAACCGGTATACATTCTACAAAAGTCAAAACCAATATCGTCTGTACAAAACATGGTATAAGATCTTTGTAATATTTACAGAGTGGTCATAGCTTTAACAAGCCGTCGATATGCACAAAAACCAGTTTTCATTCATTATTTTGTCAGCATCATCAAGCATCCACCAATTCATAGTAACGTTTCAGCTGCCAGAGTTGCAAGGTGATGGTCGCAACAATCATCAAAGTGGAAAAGTGGAAACGTCAGTCGTGAGAGCATTCACCACCGGCATATACCAGGCGCTTCCATGCGGCTTAAAGCAAGTATCTCATCGTATTTTGAAGGGTACACAAAACCCCACAACTGCATTGCATAAGCAAGAATTTAATTTCTTTCAATGTGATAAGTCATCTCCAAATCATGCAGATATGATGAAATTTGGGTATAGTGTGTGTGCGCGCACGCGCGCGTGTGCGCGCGTGTGTGTGTGTGTGTGAGAGAGAGAGAGAGAGAGTGCAGTGACTTCTTGCACGCGTGAAATAAGAAGCTTTGCACACACCTCAACTTCTTTCACCTCAAAGTCTTCCGAGTTTGCAAGACAAGGGTTTCCATAGGTTTCGGAGACTGAACTTGACCCGTTTAGCCTATGATGAAGATATTGAGAACATAGAAAATCAAAAGAAATGATATTGTGATATATACATCAAGTACTCTTCGATGGATGTAGAAATAGGAGAAAAAAAGTTAAAAGAGCAAAAGGAAAAAGGACAAGAATTCTTACAAATCATTGTCCAAATATAACGCGAAGTGACCACCACCACCAATTGCTAGAAAGTCGAGTGAGCACAAAGTGAAATAGCGATTTGCACCTGTTTATTTACCACAATTATTTCCGAGTCAAAGAAAGCCGGATCTTAGAATGAAATAGGCACTATGAGAGGTATATATCTACATGTTTATCGAACTCCTTTATTTTCAGGACTTATTTCAGTTCATCGGTATTAATCATGTCATTCTGACAACATTATTACTGAACTTTTAATTGTCAAATCAGGTAGCCAAATAGCATAGAAAGAAAGGAATCTTTTTAAAAATGATATCTCAACTCCGAAATTCCATTCAAGTTTGTACATGGTGTTGATAAATGTTACGACCCATCCACCTAACCCAGGCCCAAGCGTAGACAGCCCTTACACGGGGCCCAAACCTTGGCGAGTCTATCAAAGGAGGAAGGAGTTGGTTACAGATGGTTACGGGGTTAGCAAATGAGGAGGTTACACGTGGCAAGCTAGAGACTGTAGCTGGAGATTTAGTAGTTGGTGGGCGGCATTAGTGGGAAAAGGAGAAAAAATATCAGAACAGTCTTGGTGGGCAAGAGGAACATCCTCTTGATCGGGATTGAGCTCATGGGGGTGTTTATTGCTACCTTAAAACATCATTCCTTTCCTTAGGGATTTGTTATTGTAATTCCGTTTGGGTACTCAAGCTAGTTGCAGAGTTTGAATCTGGGATTATATTGTAACTTGTGATGTTGTTTCTTGAAAGCAATTGCAGTATAAATCTCACCCTTCTTTTTATTCTCTCGTCCTTGTCATTCGTTGCTAAATTCTTACCTCTAACAAATTGGTCTGACCTGCCATGACGAACACGAGAGTGGAGTCCCGCTTGGACGCGTTAGAGAAGAGTTTAACGTCGGTCGAAGACGCACTGAAGCAAATGAAAGAGGGGACACTCACCCAAGATGCCAAAATGCAGGGCATCGCGGGGAAGTGACGCGGATTAACAACCGCCTGGATACTGTGGATGAACTTAAGATAATGCTCTCCAGCGTGTTGAAAGGGAAGCACGCGGATGGAGAACCAAGTGATTAAGCGGCAGCAGTGTCGTCTCTACCACGGGAACACTCATGTCCTACGACTGCCGAGGTCAGCAACCGATTCACCACTACTAAAGAGTCGCCTTCAGCAAACAGCTGGGATGAACTCCATAACGCAGCTAAACGGGTGGAGATACCAACCTTTGACAGTACAGATCCGCTTGGATGGATTGCTCGGGCTGAGCAATATTTTAACGTCCATAACACACCTAATGTCCTCAAAGTCTGCTTGGGCAGTGATTTGTATGGAGGGCTCTGCTCTTCACTGGATACAGTGGATTCGCAAGAAAGACCCGTCTCTCTCCTGGGAGGTGTTAGTCGCCGAACTCATTAGGCGTTATTGCGGACGGAAGGCGAGCAATCCGTACGAACGACTCACTATGCTACGCCAAACGGGTTCCGTTGCATAATACATTGAAGAATTTGTGGCCACAATTGCTCAAGTTTCGGAGTTTCCGGATCTGCAAGCCTTAGGGTACTTCATGGGGGGGCTCAAAGACGTAATCCAACGCCGCGTCCGTACTCATAACCCGGCAGATGTGTCTCGAGCGATGGAGTTGGCCTACGACGTGGAAGAAGAGCTGGGTATTCAGACGACAGGTGTATTCGGTGGACGACAAGTTGGGAATGTGTCGTTTTCGGGCCACCGTTTTTCTTCAAGCAGGGATCTTTCGGGCGGGCCCCAGCTTACCCACTTACCCGACCCAGTAATTGGAAATCTGGGTCCTAATCCTTTCCAGGACCAGTCCAAGATACACGCACCACCCACACACCTCGGGACACTCCACGCCCTATGGGAGAAGTTTCTCAAACGAAGTCGGCAGGACTCCAACCACCGGACAGACCCCAGACGGCACTCCCGAGGTCCAGAGGAACGCAAAATTATTCGCACCAAGAATTTCTAGAGATGCGAGAGAAGGGCTTGTGCTTTAAGTGTCGGCGGCCATTCCACCCCCTCCACCAGTGCCCTAACAAAAGCATGCGCGCCATCATCGCCGACGATGACGAGGAATTGGAGGCAGAAGGGGAACTTGATAAGCTGGAAGCCGCAGAAACCGTCGTGAGCGAGCAACTGGATGAAGCATATTTTAGCCACGTGAAGCTTCCCTCGTATTCGGTGGGAGGGATTTCTCAGCCTCGCACCATGAAGCTCGCCGGCTCGATGAATGTGAGCCCTATCGTCGTCATGGTGGATAGTGGCGCAAGCCACAATTTCATCTCCGCGGGGGTTATTGCTCTGCTGAATTTGCCATTGGAGGATACCGGCAGTTTTGGGGTTAAGTTAGGTTATGGGCATAAGGTGTCTGCTCGAGGAGTTTGCAATAATGTCCAGATCACGTTGGGTGACCTCTCTTTTCTAGTGAATTGTTACAAGTTTGACTTGGGTGGGGTCGATGTTATTTTGGGAGTGGCATGGCTTGAGACACTAGGGGAAGTGCGGGTTGAATTGGCACACGATGACAATGAAATTCAACTGGCGAGGTACAATGGTGGAAATCGTGGGTGATCTAGCGTTATGCCACACGCCTGTCTCCGCACAGTCACTGTTGAAAACGGCTGATGTGATTTTTAGCAACCTGTTGTGGGAAGTCGAGGGCCGAGTCGCGGAGATTGATGTGGCACCAACTAACGACAAGGCCCTAACAGAGACCCAACGGGCTGATCTGCACAAGTTACTAACCGCCTATGAGAAGATTTTTCAAGAGCCCCACGGGCTTCCGCCGCCACGGACCACTGATCATTCCATTCCTATTGTGGAAGGGGTGAATCCAGTAAGTGTCCGGCCCTACCGGTATGCACATGCGCAGAAGGATGAAATCGAGAAACTTGTGTCGGAGATGTTGGCAGCAAGAGTGATTCGTCTGAGTACCAGTCCTTACTCGAGCCCTGTGATCCTGGTCAGGAAGAAGGATGGGAGCTGGCGTTTTTGTGTAGACTACCGCCAATTAAACAAGGTGACCGTACCGGATAAATACCCCATTCCAGTCATTTGTGACATGCTGGATGAGCTACAGGGGGTTGAGTACTTCTCTAAGTTGGACCTACACGCTGGCTATCACCAAATACGTGTTCGGGCTGCGGATGTGCCGAAAACGGCGTTTTGAACACATGAGGGGCACTATGAATTCTTGGTGATGCCCTTTGACTCACCAATGCCCCTGCCACATTCCAAGCGACGATGAATGAGATATTCCGAGCTTATCTCCGAAAATTTATTTTGGTTTTTTTTATGACATTCTTGTCTACGGCACAACTTGGGATGCACATGTGGGGCATTTAAGGGTGGTGTTGGAATTGTTGGAGGTTAACCAGCTGGTTGTTAACAAAAAGAAATGCCAAATTGGGAGGCAATCTGTTGACTATCTGGGACACGTTATTTCGGCAAAAGGAGTAGCAATGGACCCCAGCAAGATTTCCAGCATCCTTCGCTGGCCGACGCCTCTCAACATTCGGGCCGTTCGCGGATTCTTAAGTCTCACGGGCTACTATCGAAGGTTTATACAGGGCTACGGGAAGATCACACAACCCCTCACAAATTTATTAGAAAAAGACCTGGGATTTAATTGGACCACAAAGGAACACCGCGCATTTGAGGAGTTGAAAGAGCAGATGATCACGGCCCCGGTACTCAGCATGCCTGATTTTTCCAAACCGTTCATCATTGAATGTGACGCTTCCAGGAGAGGGCTAGGGGCAGTGTTGATGCAAGATAACAAGCTGGTAGCATACTTTAGTAAGGCACTGTCGGACAGAACTTTAGCCAAGTCGACTTACGAGAAAGAATTGATGGCGCTGGTCCTGGCGATTCAACATTGGCGGTCGTACCTCTTAGGACGCAAGTTTTGCGTGCGCACCGACCACAAAAGTTTGAAGCACCTCCTACAGCAGCGGATAACGACTCCGGCGCAGCAGAATTGGATTGCAAAATTATTGGGGTATGACTTCGAGATTCAATACAAGGCGGGAACTTGCAACAAAGCCGCTGACGCATTATCGCGTCGAGACGAGGAAGTTGAATTTTTAGCCATAAACTGCCCCCAATGGCTGGATGCCGAGGAAGTAAACAAAGCTATTCTTGCTGACCCTAAACTCGCTTCCATTGTACAACAACTTCACGCAGATCCCAAGAGTTGCCCACCCTATACATTGATACAGGAACAGTTGTTCTACAAGGGACGGTTAGTGATTCCGGCCAATTCTCCTTGGGCTCAGTCGCTCCTATAAGTGTTCCATTGTACTGCCATAGGAGGACACTCGGGAGCCTATCGGACTAATCGACACTTAGCTGCCAATATTTTTTGGCCAGGGATGATGAAAACAATGAAGGCCTTCGTGGCTGCTTGCCTTGTTTGTCAGAAGCAAAAGTATTTGGCCACAACACCCGCCGGGCTGCTGCAGCCACTACCGATTCCGACGGCAGTTTGGGATGATATTGCCATGGATTCCATCTCCAGACTACCGAAATCAGCTGGCTTTGACTGCATCTATGTGGTGGTTGACTGGTTTTCCAAGTACGGGCACTTTATTGCCATCAAACACCCTTACACCGCGAAGTCAATTGCGGCTGTTTTCGCGAAGGAGATCGTTCGGTTACATGGCGTCCCCAGCTCGATAGTCAGTGATCGGGATCCAACTTTCATTAGCGCGTTCTGGAGGGAATATTTTCGATTGCAGGGGACGGTACTACGGATGAGCTCTTCTTATCATCCGGAGACGGACAGACAAACCGAAGTTCTCAACCGAGGTCTGGAAACTTACCTCAAATGCTTTGTTTCGGAGCAACCGAAACAGTGGCCACAATGGCTGAGTTGGGCGGAGCTTTGGTATAACACTACATACCACGCCGTAGCAGGGAGAACACCATTTGAAATTGTCTATGGCAGACCACCTCTTACGATTCATACATTTCTTCCAGGGGAAACGAGAATTGAGGCAGTAGCTAGTTTGTTGGCTAATAGGGGGAAATTTTGAGGCAGCTGAGGTACAACCTCTTATGCGCACAGGACAGGATGCGTAAATATGTGAATGTCCACCGGAAGGATGTCCAATTTGCCATGGGTGACAAGGTGTTCCTTAAGTTGCGGCCACACTGTCAGCAATCCGTCGTGCATCGCGTTAACCCAAAGCTCTCCGCCCGCTATTATAGACCCTTCCTTATTCTGCAACGCATTGGTTCTATGGCTTACCGGTTGCAACTTCCCCCTACTTCACGCATCCATCCAGTTTTTCATGTCTCCCAATTGAAGAAGGCAGTAGGCAACCACCCAGTTGAAGGCCAATTACCGGCGGGGTTGGAAATAGACGACGAGCCCACTGTGGAACCAGAGGAAATAGTTGCGGAGCGGCCTATGAGGGTTAATGGGGTAGCAGTGAAGCAAGTCTTGGTACAGTGGAAAGGAAAACCTGTCGAGGAGGCCACATGGATGGACTATGAGGTGTTTAAAGGCCAATTTCCCCAGCACAGCCTTGAGGACAAGGCTGTTTCTAAAGCGGGAGACATTGTTACGACCCATCCACCTAACCCATGCCCAAGCGTAGACAACCCTTACACAGGGCCCAAACCTTGGCGAGTCTATCGAAGGAGGAAGGAGTTGGTTACAGACGGTTACGGGGTTAGCAAATGAGGAGGTTACATGTGGCAAGCTAGAGACTGTAGCTAGAGATTTAGTAGCTGGTGGGCGGCGTTAGTGGGAAAAGGAGAAAAAATATCAGAACAGTCTTGGTGGGCAAGAGGAGCATCCTCTTGATCGGGATTGAGCTCCTAGGAGTGTTTATTGCTACCTTAAAACGTCATTCCTTTCCTTAGGGATTTGTTATTGTAATTCCGTTTGGGTACTCAAGCTAGTTGCAGAGTTTGAATCTGGGATTATATTGTAACTTGAGATTTTGTTACTTGAAAGCAATTACAGTATAAATCTCACTCTTCTTTTTATTCTCTCATCCTTGTCATTCGTTGCTAAATTCTTAACTCTAACAATAAACATGACATTTAGAAGTAAAAGGACAATCCTATGTTTATGTTTTGCTTGTGTAATAATTGCGTTCTAACATACTGTAAGCAAGTAAACAAGGATAAGTAAATTTATTGCTAATCGTCAGCCCAACGAATGCAAAAATACAATTTTGAAATTACACATAGCTTGAAGTCCGAGCATTGAATTCCGACACAAACAATTACATCAATACCTGTAGGGTGAAATATAACAGGATGTCCAGGTCTATCTGTGAAAACAAATGTTTCATTTGATCCCTGCTCATTTTTAACTGTCACTAACATATAAAAGAAATATTATCACCAAAATGAACTTGAAAGAAGTATGCCTTTGAGCAGCACCTGATATTTTTTCTTGTTCGTTGGTCTTAGGGGTGCCTCAATCAAGCCACCAAAAACTGCACCTTTGCGGTCCCCAACAACCTGAAAGAATTTTTTAATCAGGTAATGCTTAATATTCGAGATGGTTCTTCAGTTTGCAAATAGAAAGAAGATAACTTTCCTCATTGTGAATAAAATTTGTGTTAATCATCAAAAAGTCATACAAGTATGTGAAATTATTATGAAAGCCCTTTGGACCGAATTGATCAAATGCACGCTATATATTCAGCCAAAACTCTAAATTTAAGCCTCCAACATGAGATGAAAACACATTTTTTTTTTGGGTTTGATACCACTAATCAAGTCACCCAATATCATTTCACCAGTATCTCAAACTTGTACCAAGTATCCCATGGTCTTCCACTAGAAAAACTTGGAATGAGAACATCCATACTAAAATTAAAACAAATTTTTACCAGCAGGCTAGGGCCGGGCCAAAGCATGCTCCTTCTGTAGAGCGTTGAAAGTGAAATGCCATGCCTCCATGTACTGTACAGGACACCAAAGACATATTAGAGACATTAACAGTTGATCATAACTATTAACGACAGCATGATGTTCACAATGGAACATGTCGAATTTGGTTTCCCCAATGAGAAAATTCTCGTATTCTTCACCTGTATAGTAACATCCATCTCCTTCCCTGAACAAGTGCTGGAAGTGATGCATAAAGAGCAGTTCTTGTATGCTCCGAGAGAAGGAAGGAAGGCTCAGAAACATCTGGTAGATGATTCAAAATCAAAGCATCTGGTCCTTGGACTTTATGGATACGTGGCATATGCCCCATTTCAACTCCAGCAAGTTTATCATCATCGACATTGTCTCCATCAATTTTCAAGTCCAAATCAGCCCTATGATCATGATTCCGATACACACTAATTCTTGCAGCTTGGTACACTGCCCTAGAAAGAGTTTGCTTTCCCCTGGAAAATATGCTTCTCCTTCCACCATTCTCTTTCATTGCAGATTTAGATGGTGTATTACCTTCATCCACTTTCTCATCAACTTGGTCATCTGAGTTCGGATTCTCTTCGGACTCTGCAGATGACAATAGCGAGTATAGAAATGCAGAGAAGGAAGAAGTATCTGGACCGTCAACTAATTCCTCGGATTTCTCTTCACCAGTGAACTCAAGTTGACCTCGTTTTGACTCGGTCTCATCTTCCTGCAAAAGCAGATGATACATTGCCAATTTGTTATAGTTTGGAGAACACTTATTCCAGAGTCTCATAATCCTAGAAGAAAACATATCCAAGGCAAATTTCGACTTTTGATAGAAGAACGCATTTATCACTGTTGAAAATTATTTAAATTACGAAAAATGATACATGTCATGAGGAAGTAATTTCATTGCATACATCATGAAGCTAAAATATAAGCTGTAACAAGCTGGGAGAAAACAGTTATTTTAGTTTCCCAGAACCTACAGAATTTTGACACGTGTACATTCATGAATCATGATATTGGAAATAAAATTTTCAATAATACGCATATCGTAGCTCTTACACATCATTGCATTGAAAATCTCAGAAATATGGACCACAATCTCAAGGTTTTTTAAGGTAGTGATCAAAATACCTCCAATTTTACCTAATTGGCAATTCGGCAACATTGTCATGGAAGCTTTTTATTAACTAAGATAAGATCATCCATTGTCTTAAATTCAGGAGTGAGATATTTCTTCTCCAACAGTTAAACAATACGAAACTAAGAATACCCAATATCATAACAAAACTATTGAAAACATCATTAGAGACAACAAGAATATGCTAGAAATGGCCAATCATCAAGATCCAGAGAGAGAGAGAGAGAGAGAGTGAAAAAAAAAAACATCAAATTCTATGACCAAAAAAGACAATCATAAAAACCCAGAGAGAGGGAAAAAAAAAAGACAAATTCCATGACAAAACAAGACAAGCATCAAAACCCAGAAATATTTTCAAGTCAACAAAATAAGAAAGGAAAAGATATACTTACGGGTGATGAAGGAGGAGGAGAATTTGGTGGAGAAGGCTTGGAGGATTTGTCAGAAATGGGGTTGAGGAAAACAGTGGTGAGATCGGAGACAAAGTGGGCAGCTTTACTCCGAAACGACTGTTTCTGTTTCTGTTTCTGTTTCTTACCCATTTTTTGCGGTCATATAAGCAAACCGATGACGATGAAAATTCCTCACAACCTATCTCTAATCCCGACCCTTAATATCATTTCCCCAAAGATTCCAAATTTCCCACTTCCTCTTTTTTTTTCTTTCTTCTCTTGCTTTTTCCTTTTTTTTTTTTTTTTTTCTTTTGGCTTTGGTTTTGTAAAAAAATTTTCAGCCAAATAAAAAAAAAAGAAAAGAAAAAGCGATCACTAACAATTAATACGCCTACAATGCATATCCAATGCCACCTTCTCTATCTAATATTTGTTTTGGTTTGCTTCTCAGTCAAGGACCAAAAAGGTCGAAAATTATTTTTTTTATTTTTAATTTTTTTTTCGGGTAGAAGAAAGGGGTTTTCTTTTTCTTCTTCTTCTTTTTTTTTTTTTTGGAGGTTGGAAGAAGAGTATTTTAAAGCTAATAAACTATAATCAACTTTTCAAATTTTGTTGAGGTCGCTTTTCACACCCAACCATGGTTACATTGCCTAACAGACAGGCTCCAAAAGTCCGGAGTTTATAGAACTGGAATATGCCCAATCTATTTATATAAAATTTATGCACAAAGGCGACCAGCAGGCCTCCATGGCCCAATGGACAAGGCACTAGTCTATTGAATCAGAGATTTTAAGTTCGATTCTCAGTAGAGTTGAGATGGCTTGTTTTCTTCTTCTTTTTTTCTTTCTTTTTCCTAAAAACTTGGTTGATATAAGGGTAAGCACGTCATTTAGCACTTCTATTTGTCATTTTTTTATTGCTTGTGAGATTTTCTAATACGTCTAGTGTATCAGTATGATATATATTTTTAATCATTGAATTTGTATATTTTTTTAATTTTTACGTGATTTTATGCACGTAATTTTACACTTCTATTTATCGTTTTTCTTTTTTATCACTTGAGAGATTTTCTTGTACGCCTAGTATATAAGTAATATAAATTTTTTTAATCATTAAATTTACGTGTTTTTTTAATTTTTATGTGATTTTATATAAATTTAACTAATAAAAAATTTGGTCTACCAACGTACGTTGGTGTATCAGATTTTTAAGGAGAAAAGAATATGGCACGTTTGTTTCCTATATTCGTCTCTGATTCTGAATCATGATTCATGGTTCTCTACAGTGTTTTCTCTCACAAAAAATACACGTGAAACGAGAATGATTCTGAATCGTAATTTTGAATACATAAACTAAACGTCCTCTAAGGCTCCCTCAATAGTTAGCGTGTGTGGATGCCACGTCCTAATTCTATATTGCTTTGAGATAATGGATTGACTTTTAAGTCCCCTATTTTCCAACGTCATCCTTCCTGATTTTTTTTTCTTTTTCACTTAAGAAAGCCTTTTTTTTTTTTTTGGTTGGTGAAAGGGTAAGTAAGCATTTCTTTCCTACTTAGCTAATCTATATATCACCCACCTAGACATAATGTAATTATGCTATCAATGTTATTACGAATTTTAAATCTAAAATTTTACTAATTACTAATTTTTATGCAATATTAGCTGTAAGGAAGGAGAATCAAATTTATTCTAATAGAGAATAATTATCTTGTGTTACTTTTTTTTTTTTTTATCTAAATTACTTTGATACGTTTGTTTCATTTACTAATCATGAAAGGAAAATAATCATCCTTTAGAGTTTTGTCATTGTCAACAATGGAGTTTTCGAATTAAAAATTCCAGGCACGTCCTATTTAGCAAGAAGGGTTAGACGACTAGATTTTTTGTATGTATGTTTTATTGTACTATCATGAAAGGAATATCATCCTTTCAAGAAAAGGGAACACCTAAATATGCATAAAATATATAAAGATAGATTTTTCGAATTTGAAACTTTTGAGGCACCTTCTACTTGGCAAGAAGGTGGAGACAACTAGATTTTGTATAACTTTCTCAATAAAGATATTATAGACACCTGAAGATGACTATAGTCCAACAATAGTACTGTCAAATTCTATTAATAATATTTCATTTATGATATTATAAGTATTCTTGTAGAGGGTCAATTTTTATAGTTGAATTTATGTGAGGTTAATGTTTGAATCCGGACGATTCACGGTGTCAATATCTGATCGTAATGAATAAATACCGAAAAAAAAGACATCATAATGAATAAATAACGGAAAAAAAGACAAAGACATACAAAAATTGTATAGAAGTTCGCTCATTAATGATATAGAATCTTTAATATGCTTTCACTATAAAAGAAAATAATTACAATACCGTAGAAAACCAAGAAGAAGAGAAAATAAGTAAATATGCATAAAATATATAAAGATAAATTTATTGAATTTGAAAGTTTTGAGGCACCTTCTATTTGGCAAGAAGCTGGAGACAACTAGATTTTGTATAACTTTCTTGATAAAGATATTATAGGCACCTGAAGATGACTCTAGTCCAACAATAGTACTATAAAATTCTATTAATAATATTTCATTTATGATATTATAAGTATTCTTGTAGAAGTTGAATTTCTACGGTTGAATTTATATGATGTCACTGATTGAATTCGGACGATTCATAGTATTAGTATCAGATTACAATAAATAAATACAAAAAATTGGCCTATGGTATGGACTGAGCTGAGATAATTCTTATACGGGCCGGCCGGCCCGACCTATAAATTTTATAAGCTGGGCCGGCCCGGCCCACGGCCCTTGTGGGTTTAAGGAGAACGGGCTGGGCCAACCCGTTCTTGCATCTCTAAGGATGAGAATGAGAAGTCATTTACCGTCACGGCCTTGTCATGCCCTCATACCATCACTAATTTGAACAGATAACTTAAGGGACGAATATGAAATTAAATTTAGCTCATGTTTATTTTATAAGTTCAAATTACAGTTTAAATTTTTTTATTACAGTATTTCTTTCATAAATTTAAATTTATGTTTAAATTTTTCTATTCAAACTTATAAAATAAACGAAGGCTTAACCTCAACGGGATAAAGTTGTAATTTCTCAAAAATACAATGCTGTAAACGAAAAAGACGAAAATACATAATACATAATCCTCCATACATCCCTTTAATAGGTTTGCAGGTTGCCCTAAAATTCGTTCTAAAATCCTGTGTGAAAATCTCGGGTTCATTTTCACAATTTCAAAAAACAAAACCCCCCAGACCGAGAGGCCAGGGTTATATAAAACCCATCTCTCTCGCCGCTCCTCCGTCTCCTCCATTTTCCATCTCCGCCGTCTGAGGCCTTTCTCTTCTTTTCCTTCTTCGGTCGTGTTTCTGTTTCCGAAGGTAATCTCTTCAGATCTCGTACTTGTTTGTTTCTTTTTCAATTTTCTTTTTGGCAATTTTATTTTCTGAGACTTGTTTGGATTTGCTTGACCGATGGGTTTTGTGGTGATTTTTTAGTTCAAGTCCTAGCTTCCAAGATGAAGCTCGTTAGGTCAGTCGTTAATTATTTTTTAAAAATTATTTTTCTTTCTCAATTTGTTGTTTTCAATCCATTTTTTGACGGCTTTTTACTTTTGCTTCTCGTAATAATTTCGTTTTATTTTTTTTCGAATTTGAAATGGAAAATGAGCAGGTTCTTGATGAAGTTGAACAACGAGACAGTGTCGATTGAACTCAAAAACGGCACCGTTGTACACGGCACCATCACAGGTTTCTCTCTTTCCCACTCCCATTTTTTTTCTTTTAATTTAAATTCTGTCCATAAACCTTGTAATTTTGTTGGCATTCATTTGTATGTATTCCATTAGACTCTGTATAACATTTAGGGTTTAAGATATGTAGGGCCAGTTTAGTTCACTGACTTGAACCCATGATGCTGATTCTAGTCTCTTGTAAAAAAATTTGAATAAAAAAAGTTCCGTTAATAGCTTCTCTCACACAATTAGAATTCAGAATCAAAATCACTGATTTCAACCCATGAATCAAATGGCCAGTAGTCTATTTTCGAAATTTGAAATTCTAGGGATTAGGGTTTAGGGTTTGGGGAATGCACTCTATTGCCTTGAACAGGGCTTAAACATATTCAAATTTGGTATATGTATCCTAGTGTTTGTTGTCATCACATTGAGATTAGAGAGAAAGTATCCCAGAATATAGGATTGATGAAACACGCAAGAATGTGTGGTCATTGAAGGTGTTTCTCTCTAATTTCTAAATTCTACCAGTCAATTCGTTTCTGTTTTAAGGCTGTTAATGTCCCTTTTATGTTTGCCCCAAGAATAACTTTGCTATACAAAAGCATCTGAATGCCAGCAAACTTTATACAACAGCTTATGCAAATGAGATACAAGAGCTTTCTACGTATATAAGAACTAGCTGCCAATTTTGTAAGCAGTCGGGGTTAAATTCATTTCTGATGTCTGTTCACGTAATGTCTTTATGAGATAGTTTGAACTCCCTGCTTGTAGTCAACCACCGAGTACAAATGCAGTTAATTTGTGTGAATGCCCTTATAATCTCTGGAATATGTTGAAGTATAACTTGATAAGTTTTGTCTTCTTGCATTTCCTATCTTTATGTAATATCTACAATATAGTTGACAAGGCAGGTTAATATTTTGTCGTTGCATGCCTTCGGGGTAAAAGATTTTGCTTGGTCCTTGTGAACTTTATTCAACTCGTAACTTGAATTCAATTATGGCAAGTTACTACCATTCTAATTGGCAGATATACTGGTTGAGTATAGGTGTGGATATCAGTATGAACACACATTTGAAGACCGTGAAACTGACTTTGAAGGGGAAGAACCCAGTGACTCTAGACCATCTCAGCGTGAGGGGTAACAATATTAGATATTACATCCTTCCTGACAGCTTGAATCTTGAGACTCTGCTGGTAGAAGAGACGCCTAGGGTCAAGCCAAAGAAGCCCACTGCTGGTATAGGGAATAAACGTTTTCTCTTATTTGTTGTTATTTCTGTTTCTGGTTTAAATTTTTCTTGTTCTAATCTTTCAGTTGTTTTCCTAAATTTCAGGGAGGCCTGTGGGACGTGGTCGTGGACGTGGACGTGGAAGGGGACGTGGCCGCGGCGGCCGTTAGATGCATGGCGCTGGTTTCAATTTTTTAGGCACCTGTTTATGTAAAAACACCTATGTTGTAAGGGAGAACTTATCGGAGATCCTATTAGAGGTATCAAAGGAGTGACATCACTGTTACTTCAATTAGTTATCTGCCTGGTGATTTGACACTCATCATTTCTTGCTTGTAGTGTTTACTTTTGGATGTTGATTCAAAGAGAACTAGTACTCCCTATGTTTTGGGTGACCAGATCGTTCAACAGCTGCTATTACCAAAGCATCAATTCATGGATTTATGCCGTCTTATTATAGTTTGATCGATCTTACCATGATATCAGACTTAAAGCTCTGCTTTTTGACTTAATTTTGTTTGAATGAGATACTTTCGGATAAATTATTGTGTGAGAAGTAGATAGCGGTTCCAAAATCACTGTTGGCGGGGCGGGTTATACAATGTAGTATTTGTTAATTTTATGAATTGCTTTGAAGAATGAAGCAGCTTGCATGCTTATGGTAGAAACTTCAAATAGTTTTCCTAGTGTCAAAGCCCCTGTAAAAGTTAAGCGTGGCGGTGAATTCTTATATAAGCAGAGAATGTTGTTGTCTCTTTAATAAACGTTGTTTGGATGAGCAGAAAGTTAAAACGTATAGTTGCTTATGATTTGTGTATTGCCAAGGAATTAGTGATAAAAAAGAGGAGTTGAAGTTAGATTTAGACAAGGACTAACCGCCCGCCCTCCGAAAACTTATGTCTCATTCTATTTACTTTTTGGATTAATTACAAAAACTCTTCTTAAATTATACTCCTTGTAATACTGTCCTTCTAAACGTAACATTTATTTTTCTTGAATAATTAAATATTAACAAAAAAAAAGTCTTTTTGTTAGGTCTTATTCTAAGAGAAATTGACATGTAATTTGTTATTTTGGGGTATTTGGTAGTTCTATGGTTTAAAATTTTAGTTTGAATTTAAAATTAATTTAAATTTAAACTTTTAATTATGATACATCAATTATTGATTGAATGTAAGTTAAAAATTTTATGAAATTTTTTTGGTACAATAAAAAAATTTATGATGTTTTTTTTTAATATTTAAATTAGTTTAGATTCAAATTAAATTTTAAACCATTAAATTATCAAAATACTCTCAAAATAATAAATTAAATGTCAATTTTAGTTAAAAACTTAAAGGAGGGGTTTTTTTTAATTAATATTTTATTGTTCAGGAAGAACAAATATTACGTTTTAAAGATCAAAAAGTAAAGTGTTATAGAGGTATAATTCAGGGAGGGATTTTTGTAATTAATCCTTACTTTTTTAGTAAAAACTTGCGTCTCATTTTATATCTAAATATAAAGCTTACTTATGTAATACTGCCACCATTTGAAGTTTACTAAACAGTCTTGATTCATAATAGGTCTAAACTCATGGCAACCCTTCAACCAAACAGGCTATAAAATATTTTTACAATATGCGCTAACGCACCACCAAGGACAAGTTGTCTGCATGGGCAGATTTGGCGGATGGCAGGCGGGTTGGAGGCGGGGCGTGGTGGGTAGGCTGGTGAGCGGGTAGAGAAATTTGAGCCAACAATGTGAGCCCTTTTTTTCTGAACTTTTTTGTTTTTGCCAATTTCGTAGCAAGTTTAGTAACTGTTGCACCCACATAAACTTATTATATTTTTCCAATCCTTTCTCATTAATTATACAGCAAATGGCCGCTTATAATCCTAAAGTATTGTTGTCCCCTTGTTTAACAAATTGCAAAAGAGGAAAGGGAAAATTGGCCATAACATGAATCCAATAACTTTAATTTAGTTGATCAATCCGCCACAATGTTAGAGGGACAAATAAACAAAAAGAAAAAGAATTGAATTACAACACATATATGAAGGAAAACGCATATGAAACAATCAGAAATGTAATAAACTTAGGACTTAAAAGTCCATAATCCATATAGCATTATATTCCATCCATTTTTTCATATCACAAAAAACTTTATGAAAGAATATTTATAGTAAAACTACTTGGAAGGAAAAAAGAAAAAAATGGTCACCCAACACTTCTTTTTCCATCGTCAAACTAGAACCATCATTTCTTTTTCCTGAAATATTTCTCTCACCCAACACTTTCTTCATAAGCATGTTATTAAGAAGAAAGTGTCGTTGTGTTGGAGTTAAACGGTAAACTTTGAACTCATAAGAATAAAATTGCATATTTGTCCAATGTCAAAAATTTAGGTAATTGAAACTGTTAAGGTCCCGTTCACTTCACCGATTCGAGTTTAGAATTCGAGTTTTGCTACAGTAAAAAGTTCTCAGAAACAGTCACATCTAACTTTTTTGCTACAGTAAAAAGCTCTCACATAAAGTCACATCTCAACTCGAATTAAAAATTCGAATCAGCGAACTAAACGGGTTCTTAGTCTCTGAACTTTCAGCATAGTAATATTTTAATCACTCAATTGTTAATGTTGGCATAATAGTCCCTAAACTTTTATTATTTTAACAATTTTGGTCCCCGACATTAAAATTGACACACGATCTCTAAAATTTAACAAACATAATCATATATTCATCGTGTGATAACTAAAATTTTGCAGAAAGAGTTGTGGTATATGAAATTTTTTTTTTCTTGTTACTACTAAAACCTATTGAAAACTATAACATTTCACATTTACTGTAACTGCTAATGTAAGATTTTTAATTATTATGTTATGAGAATATGATTATCTACGTTAAATTTCAGAAATCATTCGTTAATTTTAGTGTCAATGATCAAAACTATCAAAAATCAAAAGTTTATGGATTAATATACTAAAAACAAAAATTCAAAAACTAAAATGTCACTATGCCAAAAGTTCAAGGACTAACAGACAATAATCCAAAAACTTTTTTAAGCATAAACCTAAACTATGGTCAAAACAAATTGCCCAAACCAACTTGGCTTAATTTGGCTTTTTCTTTAAGATAACAAACCGTCCAAACCATCAACAAAAAGTTTTTATTTTTGATATTTTTACTCAGAAATCGACCAAACTAACCGCGAACACTTGTATATATAGTATCATATGAATTTTCAAAGAATTCTTTTTTAAAAAAAAATTCCAACAAGAAGAGAGATGAGAGAAAGAAGTAAATTTTAAATTTTAGATATAAAATTTGGACAGAAATTGAGCTATTTAGTAAACAGTTGGGAAAACAGTGATCAGGTACCGAACATTTGTTGGCTTTTCCAGCCATATATGCTGCAATTTCCCTTCATTAAATTTATTTACACAGTAACAAAGCTAGAGAATTTCATGACGCGCCAAACTCAAATACAAGTCCATATAAAATAAACCAGTTTTGAAAAGGAAAAATATGAATTGGGTAACTAAAATCCAACAAGAGAGAAAAGAAAAAAAAAAAAAGACAAAAATGTTAGATCCAACAAAAACCTAAATCATTTCGTGCAAAATAAGGCTAAATTTTGCCTAGACCGGCCAATGCAAAAACATCATAATCATCACAAGAACAACCATGATCATGACCATCTTTACACCCACACTCGTCCCAATTCTTCTCCATATTTCTAAGCCTTTTTTTCTCCAACATCTCCACATCTTTCAAAACCCTTATTCTTATCTCCACCTTCAGTTTAGCTGGTTTGACACCCTCAAACACACGTCCACGTGTCGCAACAAGAGTCACCCACTTGTCAAAGACCATGTTTGGCGACTCAAGAACTTCCTTCAGTGGGATCTCTGCCATGCCCAAGATTTTGGAGCTCCCAAGATTAAAAATTGCTCCAAAAACTGGCATTGTTTTCCTCATCCTTAGCTCGAGAACTAAGCTTTCTTGCTTGAGTTTTGAGATGTCCATGGAACCCTCCGTTCCACAGCCCTCCAACGAGAAGGACTCGTTCCAAACGCTGTCGTTTTCTGTAGGGATCTCTCGGGTATCGAGGCAAATATTTGATGTTTTGTTGCTATAATTCCCTAAAGGAAGATAGCTTCTTACAAATAGTTTGGTTTTGGGTTTGGACTGTACGGATGTTGCTTGTTTGATTTTCAATTCACAGGTGAGAGAAGAGAAATGTTTAGGAGTATCCATCAACTGTTTTGTGTTCTTAAAATTACAGAGTGAGAGAAAGAGGATGAGAGATATTGGTGTAGTAGTAGTACGACTCTTTCGTTTTTGTGTAATGACTATCGTTAGTTTGAGAGGTAATTTATAGTGAGATATGTACTCGGGTGGTGTTTGCTTCTTCTTTTTCTTTTTTTTTTTTTAAATTAATTTCGAAATTGGCCCTAAAAGATGGGGACGTTTGGTTCATAGATTTAGAATCATAATTCATGACTATTCTTAGTTTACGTGTATTTTTTATGAGAGAAAATACTATAACAAATCACGAATCACGATTCGAATCAGGATACGAATCCACCAATCAAACGCACTCTAAGAGTTATCTCGTTCTGACCCCATAATTAAAAATAAAACAAAGCTGGCCCCAAGCTTTTCATAAAACTTTAAAAGTCGATTTTACTTATATTTACCATATTACCCTTCATAAAGCAGTCACATATCCTTCGTGAGATTAAAACCATAAGAAAATTGTGTTCATTGAGTAGAAGTACCAAAGTTGGCAATTTATGAGAAGCTCAGGCGCCAATTTCCCAATTTTTGTAATTGAATAATGTTAGGGTCATTAACTATAATCCTAATTTTTGTAATAACTCATGAGTTATCACTCTTTTATTAGTAGGTAAGTGTTTAAAAGATTGTTACATTAATAAGAATGACAACTTAAAAGTTGACATAAAAGTTAGAATTAGAGTTGATATTCTAATATTATTCTATTGACTTGTTTTTAATAAAAGAGGTACGTTACTGAATTATAGAGGATAAAGTGAGACAACTTCTATTTTTCTGGGGTCAAATTTACAATTAATCTTAAAAAAAAAAAAAAAAAAAGATGCCCTTATCTATAAGACAGTAAGAAAGAGTATATTCCCATGCAAGCCCTTACAGTTATTGGCAATATTATAATGTATTATTGGACATGAAGTGAATCGTGTAAGATGTGCAACACATGGATTATTGTTATCTCCTTTTGTCCCTTAGATTCTTGAAGGGCTGGATAATCCAAAGACGATTCTGAATTTGCAAGTTGTGGAAACAGTGATTTTCTCTACGAATACGGCACAGAATTGTTAATATGTCATGTGGGTTGCCCACTAATCGATCGATTTGCAGAGGATTCTTACGTAGATTTTTGCTCCACTAATTCCGTCCAACATATTAAACGTAAATATTTCATATTTTAGCCGACATTTTTGGACTTTGAATTGCTTCTTTCTCGATCCAAATTTCAACTTGTTATCCCCGGGGGTTTTCTTTTCTTTTTCTATTCATTTTCCTTTTCCTGCTTATAGAAAATGCTTATAGAAAAGCGGTGGTGTTCTATATATTATAAAAATATCGGAGAAGGCACAATTAACGACTTTACACACACATACATATATGACACAAGGAATTGACGTAAAGGATAATTGATAACTTTAGGTATCGTTCATTTCGCAGATTCGAGTTTTCAATTTGAGCTGAAATGTGACATTTTTTTAGAGCTTTTCACTGTAGCAGAAAAAAATTAGATGTGACATTTTATGAGAGCTTTTTACTGTAGAAACCTAAAACTGAAAACTCGAATCGGTGAAATGAACGATGCCTTAGTTTACATTCTTTGTATTTCTTTTAAAGTTATTTAATTTAGCATGTCATTAATATTTATATATGTGATTAGTGTTATATTGACATTCAAACTCCTCATGTTAGTGTGTATATTACATTCTATAAAAAATTGTATCACCCTTGCAACTTAATTATGCACACACACGCACATGCATATTAATGTTACTCTTAAAAGTGTGGTTTGTTTTTTTTATTTTTTTATTTTTATGTTCACTCTTGATCTCTAATTTGTTGATCTTCTCTTTAGCCAAAAAAAAAAAAAAAAGTCTTTAACAATAGATTAGTTTTCTCTTCGATATAACCCTTCATCAAACTTTTTTCTCCCTAAAAGATATTATTCTCGTTTTGCAAATCATAAAACGAAAGAAAAAGGAAAGAAAAACTTGCCAACATGTTCATTTTCACTCAACTATATCCGTAATAACAATATTATTGAGATATGTGTCCTGTAAAAGTCAGAGTTGGAATTTTGTCACCATCAATATTAATAATGTTATTGATAAGGATAAAGATCAGTACCTTTAATTTGGAGCTATCCAATCATTTTACCCGGTAGTGCTCATTGTTAATAGATAATACCGCGTGAATACTTTACACCGAGTTAGCTTTTGCCTTTTGTTTTCGTTAAGCATGCTTGTAATTTGAACTAGCTTTGTTGCTTTAAGTAAGAGTTTATTTGTGTTTTGCCCAATTGTTTTAAGCAGTAATTATAGGTGCAACTTCCAAAACATCAATGCTCTTCCACTTGCTCCGTCGTGTTTTGGTTGTTCCGCCTTTGGGGGACGCTAGGGGTTGGCCTGAAAAAGTCATTTTGACGCTCAACTCAGGTAGAGTTGGGGAAATATTTTGGCAGAGTAATAGTAAGAGCAGTCAAAAAGTCCCCTCCATAAGAGGGCTAGCGTTCTATTTATAATATGTCCTGATCAGATGAATATTTTTGATTTCTCTTAATCATGACACGTCACATTCTCTTGAGATTAAGAACTCGTTTGGTTCATGAATTAGAATTATGAGATTAAAATTATTTTTGATTTACGTGTTTTTTGTGAGAGAAAATACTGTAGCGAATCATGAATCATAATTCGAATCAGAGAACGAATCCTCCAACCAAACGGGACCTAAAACTCGCAGAACATTTCTTTTTAGAAGGTCCCCAAGAAGGTTCCTCGCCTGAGCACGTGCATTACCCATATTCATACTGTCGTCACTTTGCGCGTGGCATGGTCGCCATGATAATGGGACACTCGTCTTCAGGAGCTGTCTTGTCAATCCAACACGTGTCGTTGGCTATTTTGAGTCGGTTTGGTTGGAGGATTCGTTCTCTAATTCGAATCATGATTCATGGTTCGCTATAGTATTTTCTCTCATAAAAAACACACGTAAATCAAAAATAATTCTAATCTATAAACCAAACGGGCTCTAATTTTATCCTCGATCCCCATCTATACTCGGTCTCAAGCTCAAAGTCTCGGAGTAATTCCCCAATGGCCTGGGTTGTGTTTGGATCAAGATCTTGAACCTTCGATCTCGATCCTAGTCAAATAACAGTCTGGGACATGTGGCATGCCCTTATTGGTACGTCAATGGAAGATTCCCTAACAGTAATTTTATTTTCCAAGCATTAAAAAAAAAAAAAAAAACTAACAATTTTGTTTAAAGTTCGCCTATCAACGTTTCTGAATTTGAGCATAAAAAAGCTTTATGTTCTAAAAGATTAATTTTGACTTCAAAATATAAAAAAAAGCTATTAGCAAAAGATTATTGTATCGACTAGAGATCTAAAGGCACTTTGTTTACCAACGCTTAAATAGCTTTAGCTAAGAGAAGGGATTCGAGTTTTTTGTCCTATACTTCTAAATTTATATTCAGCTGTGAAGTAAGCAATGAATAATGGTTCACACGTTGGTGATAAAAGTATAACCATTTTCTTGATGCTTATCACTATATTCGCTAAACAGAGAGTACTTATCCACCCATCTTCCAAAAAAAAAAAAAAGTGCTTATCCACATTAGTTAATTTATTATACATGTCTTATTTCAATATTTACTCACCAATAGAACTAAAAAGGGATGGATATCTGCTGTCGCAAAAAGTTTTCCTCTAATCTAGTCATCAAAAGTTTAGTCAACCAAAGATAATTAAGAAATTTGCAGAATAATTCGAGTCCGTTTGGTACCTAGATTCGTTTTCTGATTCGAATCATGGTTCGTGGTTCGTTACAGTATTTTTTCTCACAAAAAATACACATAAATCAAAAATAGTTCTAATCACATGGTTTAAATCTATAAACTAAACGCCACAAGTAACTGTTCACACTATGATATTGAGGTCACGGCGAAGCAATAAAATGTTCCAAGCTTGAGTTAAATCAAAATTTTGAAAATGGATCCGTTCTTCTACAAATTTAGTATTGAAAACATTCATATGCCGACTTATAAAATTTTAATCTAAAGTGGTCGTGGTTCAATTTTTTTTTCATGGTTTTGTTCACATAAATCTTTTTTGGGGTTTCTTTCGTCTACATTTTTGTGTGGTTTCTTGTAAAAGATATGAAGCTTTAAAGAGTCAAGACTTCAACAATCAATTAAAAGAACATATATTAGAGGGCATATAAGTTTTTTGAATAGCTGAAGATTTTTTTAATTTTTTAATTATTTATTTATTTTTTTTTTTTTGTAGAGCTCGATTCCTATTCTTTCGTAGGAGTAATGATTTTATTATTTTGTTCATCAAAACGAATTACTTATTATTATTATTAATATTATTGTTGTTGTTGTTTTATTATTAATAAAATTTGATTTCTACAAGACATACAGTTTTAATATTTACTTTCGTTGAAGGAAACACTACAGCTTTATCAAAACAAAACAAAAAAAAGATATATATGCTACGAAATACGTAATAATTCATGTTACAATTTTTTAAAGGAAGAAAGCATAATGCATGACATAATTTAATCATAATCCTATTATCTCTGATGAAATGTTGAATTAGTTTGTCACGCCCCGACCCGCGATAATTGGTGACCAAGTGCAACTAAAATTAAATATACCAGATTTATTATAAAAAATCTAAAATATCATAAAATTTTTTGAAAAAAAAATATATCATATACGCTTCAAAGTTTTTAAAAACAGTAGTAATAATTTACAGTCCAAGTTATATAGCTTTTCTCAAAGCTTTGTAATACCGAGAAAATATTGTTGTACAGATACAATCTTCTATAGATAAGATACAATCTAACTGCGAATTAAATAACAAATAACATAAGGCCTCATTCGTTTCGCTAATTCGAGTTTAGAATTTGAGTTTTGTTACAGTAAAAAATTCTCACAAACAATCACATCTAATTTTTTACTACAGTAAAAAACTCTCACATAAAATCACATCT